GTGATGGGGAATGGGCACCCGTATGAGATGTGCACTGGACTGATGCGTTTGCTGCTGGCACCCTCTGCTCCTGTGTGATCACGCTCAGAGGCTGTCGTTGAACCTGAGTRGGGACTGCTTGCCCTGCAGTGTTCAGAAAGAGGTTAGAAATTTTGGTGAATGGAGATGCTGCCCAAATGAAGGCAAAAGGAGTTGACAGACTCGGTAAAACTGATGCTGGATGGGAATTTTCTTTCCCCGTTAGGCTGTTGCTTGCCCTAGAAGGGCACTTGGACGTTGTCCTTTGGACGGGTGGACGTTGGTCACGGCTAGAGACGAGAAACTTGTTCAGACTCGAKCAATACAAGCAGAGTGAACAGCAATGGAGTGTGGCCCCACAGTTTGTGCAGCCTCCTGCACRCGGTGCTGACTGGTGCCTCTGTGCAAAACGGCTTTGCAGACAGCGACCACTAACAGCACATCTTGTCCTGGCACAGTAATCACAGGGAAGTTTCCTTGCGTTSGTTGGTCATCTAATTTTCCTCTTTCTAGCTGTCCTTTAGTTGTCCTCGAGCCAGATGGTGCCTGCCGTCTCGCGCGGTTCCTTTTGGCGCTCTGCCCTTGCTCTCCGGCCCTGGCCTCAGCCTGCTCCACGAGGGCAGCAGACCTGGGGGCGGCCAGAGCTTCTGTGGGGCAGCGGCAGCTCTTGGTGTGGCTGTGCCGCGGTGCTGCCGAGCCTGACGCAGCCTGCGCCGCCGGCCCTGGGTCCTGGCCCGGGGAGGCCATCAGGCCTGCACAAGGGGCTGCAAGTGGCGCATCCGGCCGAGCGCCCGCGCGTGCAGCTCCGCGGGGCGCTCCAAGCCGCGCGGTTGCGGTGCCCCCTGCACAACCGCGGCGCTGCTGGGAAGGTCTCCAGGCAGGCGGCCCAGACCGCGCGTCCCAGCACCGGGACCCGGGCACTGGGTGGCACAAGCGCCCCGCTGCCGGCTGCGGCGCAGGGCTTGACCGCTGCCCAAGGAAGAGCTGCAACTGCCGTGTCCCATGGGAGCGGGAGGCCTCAACGGGAAAGGAGCGGGTTTGGGCGCTTAGAGGAGGGTGTTGAAACGGTGCAGCAGGTAACCCTGGAACAGCAGCGCACTTCCTACCAGTGGGAAACACAAAATGCAACCACTCTACAGCAGTGTAAAAACTGCACTGACGTGATGGAGAAGAAGATCCRTGCATGTGGCGAGGGGATTGGCAGTGACCTTCAGGAAGATGACAGGATTTTTTTTTTCCCCTGGATTGCATTGGTATGTCTGGCTAGATTTGAGATTCTGAGCTATGTAAAGGGTTTTACAAATCGATTTGAGCATCTGGATGTGTGAATGAATGTGAGTGATAATAACAGTGGGCGAGCAGAGACATTCAAAATTATCCTAATAGGCTGGCATGAGGCAGCAGGAGACAGAGCTTCTGGCTTGGAGGTGGAACACTCTCTTGAGCCAGGTGGTGATGGCAATGGGCTGATCTTCTCCCACCTGGAGCAATGAGCAAGGTCTTTTTGCTCAGATGAAGGTAGTAAGGGCTTCTCACACCTGATTGCTGTCCAGGCTGTAGATGACTGGCACCTGGAGATACAGGAACGTGTCACCATCCGTGTCCAATGCCTTCRGTGTAAGCCCTGGGAAGGACTCGGGCTCCTGATGGCATATTCAGGGCATCAGAATCCTGAGTCCCTGTATCCTGATCTCCTGAAGTGCCCATCTCTCCTAGTGGACTAAARTCTACTGGGTAGCCTAGGCAGGCACTGCGGCACAGGGAGGTGGCCTGCCAGCTTTCCCCTYGTGTTCCCTGCAGCCATGGAGCTGGAGGAGAAATGAGCTGGCAACTGTGGATGTGCCTTCCATCACTTGCTACTTGTATAACCAGGATCTCTGTGCGTTATATTTTTAAGAGCTCCTTGAGGGGAGACTAGATGGAAGGCTGTGATAATTTGTGCCATTTGGGATACCGCTGGCGCAAGCAAGGCAGCGAATGTGCTCGTGTGTGTGCACTCAGCTGTGGATTTTCTGAGGAAATGTCCCTCCATATGTGCAGGCATCAAGGATATTAACTGCCTGCGTGACAGGCTCACCAGAGGACTTTGGATTCCCCCCAAACATCAGGGGTGTTGGGAATGGAGCTCATCTTAATTAGCTGAGGGCAGTTCATGCTGAAAATGAACCATAGCACTGCCTGAGCAAGTTCTCCAGTGAAATGTGAACCAGAAGGCAAAAATGGATCCACAGCACGTTGCTGGTTTGAGGAAATGATGTGTTTCAGCTGCCTTCGTGGTGAAGTCCTGTGCTGTGCGGAGGGAGTGTGCGAGTGCAGCCCTCCAGGCTGTGTCCCTGCTTGCAGGTCTCGGCAGGTATCACTGGGCTCTGCTTCTCTTCGAGTCCAGCAGTGACACTGAGCCCTGCCACGGCTCTTTTTCTTGATGCAAGGGAAAGGAGGGGTATGGTGAAAGTGGCACCAGTGGCATCTAGAAAAGGAAAATGAACTTTTTTTATTTTATTTTTTCTGTTTTGGTGTTCAGCGGTGAGGTTGGGGCTGACCYGGGGTTTGCATCTTGAGGAGCTGCAGTTGCTGAAGACCCTGTTAAAGTCTACAGACCCCAATGAATCTTTTGCTTACTGCTAGCAGTGACTATGTTGAGAGAATAGGACTAATTTGAAGACTTGGTGATGACCTACTGAGCAGGCTGCCCTGGGAAGTGGTGGAGTCACCATCCCTGGCGCTGTTCAGGAAACGTGTAGCTGAGGGACTTAGGGTCAGTTTAGCAGGTATGGTGTTGGGCTTGATGATCTTGAAGGTCTTTTTCAAGCATTATGATTCTGTGAATAATATAATCCCTTAAGAGAAAGTATGTCCTCAGGCTCAGCTTTTGAACCAGTCCTGTAAACACGTCCCCAGGAAAATCTCAGGCCTGATTCTGTCTTTACTGTGGTGTGGGGATTGCGCTTTGATGTGCCAGGCTTGGAGGTGACCTCGGTAGCTGTGAAGGAGCTGTGGTTGTTGCCCATCGTCGGTCCTGCTTCTGGTGAGGTGACCTGGGGAGCAGGGGTGGTTGGAGCACAGAGGAAAGGGAGCTGATTTTCCCTTTCCGTCGGCAGAGCTGGGGTGTAAGTGCTGACTGCGGTGCTGGCTGAAGGCATYGCCTGCTGAAATCCTCCTGGCAACTGCCTGCCCTTGGACGCACGGCTGCGTCGAGCGGCCGTGTCACCGAGTTGCCTGCACAGCTCCCTACACAAGGGACGGCCGCATAGGGCAGTGAGTGTCCTGCCATTGAAAACAGGTGGAAGGAGCGGACCCTGCCCCCGGGCAGCGCTGCCCCCGCGGGGCCGTGTCCGCGCCGCGCTCCCGGCGGCAGGAGGGACGCGGAGCTGCTGCCGAGCCCGGCGCGGGGCTGCGGGCGGCCGCGGCGCCGCTGCGAGGAGAGGCCGCGGGCGCCGGGCCTGCCCAGCCGCAGAGGGGCCGCTCGCGGGGGCCTCGTAGGGCGCCCCAGGGAGGCGGCGGGAGGGGGACGGGCCCTTGGCCACAGGGCACGAGGCCGCGGCCGCGCTCTGGGACACGGGAAACATCAAAGAGAAACTTCTTCAGTGTGAGGGAGACAGACCTGGAGCAGGTGGCCAGAGCGGTTGTGGAGTCTGCTCTGGAGACCTTCCGAACCCACCTGGACACGGTCCCGTGCCCCGTGCTCTGGGTGTCCCTGCTTGAGCAGRGCTGGACTGGGTGARCTGCAGAGGTCCCTTCCAACCTCGAGCGCTCTGTGGAAATCGAAGTGCACTGAGCAGTGCCTGTGCTCCATGTCCTGTGTCCCCATGCTTACTGTGTAGACTTGACTCGCGAGCCTGCAGCAGGTGGGAGGAGGACAAGATGGAAAGTTTTCAAATCCTGTACTTGGGGGACAGCCGCYTCTTTGTGGCCGTGGAGCAGGTGCTGGGTTTGGGCATCGACACTCTTGTTCAGACTGCATCTCCAGTCAAGGTTAGGATTTCTGTAGGATCATAGAATGCTGAAGGTTGGAAGGGACCTCAGAGGTCATCGAGTCCAACCCCCCTGCACACGCAGGGTCACCTACAGCACATGGCACAGGGCTGCGTCCAAGCGGGTTTTAAAGATCTCCAAAGAAGGAGACTCCACAACCTCTCTGGGCAGCCTGTTCCAGTGCTCTGTCAGCCTCACTGTCAAGAAATGTTTTCTTAAGTTCCTGTGGAACTTTTGATGCCTCAGTTTGTGGCCATTTCCTCTAGTCCTGTCGCTGGCCACCACTGAAAAGAAGCCAACCTTTCACTCAACTCTTGATGCTGGATCCTTGTCTTCAGTGAAGATGAAGAAGAAAATTTTCTAACTCGTTAATTTTCCATTTTCCATCATCAARTCTGTGCTATGGGTCTTTCTGAATGTCTTTTGAATGTCTCTTTTCYGTGTCTCCTCACATGGACGGCACTGAGATTGCGATTTTCCTGCCATCTGTAAACTGGCATGCTGCTTGTGCTGGGATGGGAGGTATTTTCATTGCTGCTCTACATAATACATATGCTGCTCTAGACAAGGACACCCCCCTCATTTGCCTGCTGTGGTTATAGTATTTCCGTTATTTTCTGTTCTGTTCCACTTTTCCTCCACTCCATAACGTCCCTGGTGTTTTTCTAATCACTGCTGTTTATTGAGCTGTAGTGCTCACGCACAGCTGAGGATAGCTCAGTGAGCACACAAAATTTTCCCTTCCAGCACACTTTAAATGTGTAAATATCATTAGTCTCATTCTATACTTGGCACAGGATGGCCAAGTGGTGTTACAGCTAGTTGCAGTGGTGTTTTTCATCGTGCCTGTATTGCTGGAGCTCCTTTGATCGTTTTGTCTTCTCGTGCAGCTGTATCTGTGGCTATCCTATATCCCCAGGCCCTGGGGATGTGCAAGCACAGGAGTAAGGGAAGAGGCACCTGAAAAGTGCATGGAAGGGGTCGGCAACACTCATAGGAAGCACTTGCTGATGCTTTTCTCCATATCTTTGCAGGCGAAGGACAGTGATGATGATGATGAAGTCACTGTTAGCATGGACCGGGATCGCTTCATGGATGAGTTCTTTGAGCAGGTGAGAGTTTGGTTTCTTCAATGTGATTTTCAAGTCAGATTCAAACCTCTGAGGCTTCTCTGAGATTACACTCAGAAGGGGATTAGCGGGAAGCAGGCTTCTCGAAAAACCTGAGGCTGTCATGTGCTCGCCTGGCCCAAAGGACACAGTTGCTTCTTCACCTGCTCTTGTAGAAACTGAAGGGCCAGCTGCTCAAAGTGACCAGTAAGTGGGACCACGTGAACCTGTGCAAACAGGCAGCAGAGGATCAGGTTGCCTTGTTGCAGTGTGGTGCTTCCAGGTGGCTACTCTGGCTCTAAAAAATCCCCTGCAAGCACCTCTGCAGAGTAGCAGTTTCTTCATGGGTTTATTTCATGCCTCTTGTTAATAAACGAGAGGTTGTCTTCTGGCATGTGGGTGGCTGTAAGATATGCATGCAGAGTTTCGCATACCCTTAACATGGCATGTGTGTAGGGGGTGTTAAAATATCTGTACGTGCTTTGGAGAATGAAAAATCTGACATGCAGATGGATGAAGATGAGCAAAGTGGTGGTGTGCATCCAAGGAAAAGATAAAGGTAGAGGATGTGCAGCCTACCAGRCAGCAGGGCACAGGTACAGGCTCCCTTTCTCAGCGATGCCCTTGCACTGCAGAAGCGTGGGGAAGGTGTCAGCATTGAGGGGCAACTTCTCGCTTGGCCTCTCTACTTTGTGTGGGATGAGGCTCAGACTGGGTTTCTCAGCCTGCAGAGACAAGAGCTGTGGGGAACAGAGCTGGGACCTGCCTTTGCATATTGAGCAATTTGCTCAGTCTGAGATACGGCGTCTGAGAATTCATACATCTGATGCTCATTTAAATAAATGCTGCATGTATCTCAGTATATCAACAAAACATACAGGACCTAGAGTGTATGTTTTATTGTTGCAGCTCCAAAGCTGGCTGCTGTAATGTGGAAGAACTGTTTTCACATCAGGTCTGCAGTTTGAGAATCCATCTGGAAAAGATCCACTGAAACTCTCCAAGGGGAAGTCTGCTGTGGTGCAGACATGTCAYGGTTGTTTTTGCATAGGGTGTAATAATTCCTTCCCTTTCCAAAATTCCAGGTGCTCCAAGGATGTCTCTCTTGTCTCCATAGGTGGAAGAAATTCGAGGRTTCATTGACAAAATTTCAGAGAACGTGGAGGAAGTGAAGAGGAAGCATAGTGCCATTCTGGCTTCACCCAACCCAGATGAGAGTGAGTCTTGTTTTCTGCTTTCTTCTCGGCGGGGCCTGTGGATGCTCATGGCCACTCCACGAGCCTGGGAAGAGCATTTGAGGGAACGTGTAACACTGCTCGCTTGCTCCGCAGCTCACAGATAAGATAGGGGAATAAATGGATGAGGTGGTATGTGCGGCAAGAGCCAGGGCTGTTTGGCCTGAGAAGTGGTACAAGCTTTTCTGAGTCTGCTGGTGTGCATTGGTAACCTGTCCTTCCTGTCTGGAAAGATGTTGCATTGCTGGCTGCTACGGGGACTGTCTCTCAGGACCTTACTGATGTGTCCCTCTTKTTTTTCCCTAACTACGCATTTCTGCGTAGAGCTTTGCTGCCAGGGACTGGTGTTCAGGATAGTAATCCTCATAAGGGCGTAGAATTTAGCTCCGGGAGGCTAAGGGATCTGGCAGAGTTACAGCTGTCAGCTCTTGATGTTGAATTCCTCTGCCCTGCCACACACTTGCTGCTCTATGAATGCGTGGCCAGGAAGACATCTGAGGAAATTCAAAGGAGATGTGAACTTGCAGAGCATTTACAGTTCTGTTGTGGGCAGGGGGATTTTCTCTGTGCAAAGATTTTCCAGGCCTGGTGTTTGCAAACCTCTGTTGTGGTGCAGACAGGACCCAGGTGCTGAGCTAAGAAACAGAGGCCCGAAAGCAGGGATGAACACAGCTAAGTGAAGCCACTTGTCAGCAGGACTAGATCCTGTGCTCCTGACAGCCTCTGCCACGTGTGGTAGCGTACAGCAGGCAACACAGAAAATAACGATATTTCAGAGGAAAGCTATTGAAGCCGAAGGATCCTCTGCTCTGTTGCACTWGGCTCTTCCTGAGGTCTTGCTGTTAACCAGCTCGGGCTGTGCTGTTGATTGTGGAGCTGATGGAGCTTGTTGTTGTGAGTGTTGTCCCTGGGCTGCCAGCAGCCTTCGTCATCAGCAGAGGTTTTGCTTTCATAGGCCAGACAGTTATTGCTGATGGGCTGAGCGCTGCTGTGCTCCCCGTGGTGACCCTGATGCAATGGTGTAAGAGAGAAAGCTGAGGGAATGGCTGCYGAGAGCAGACCTGTCTTGGCATCTTTCCTTCATTGCTATTCTTCATTTGCCTGATGCATTTCCATGTCTGCTTGCATCCTTCCAACTTGGCCTTGTTTCTAGCATTCCTGGGAACTGTCCGTATGTGTGCCTTGCTTGTGTCCAGCTCCAAATGAAGAGATATTGCTGATTGCTTGGAAGTACCTGGCCTTTCTAAAGCCATCTCCCATGCCCTCCTTTAGGCCGCAGCTCCTTGACTCATTTTCACCTGTCCTAGCCTGAAAGTGGGGGGATATTCTCTAGGAAATTTGCGTGTCTTGGGCTGTTTATCACTCATCCACTAGGCTTTTTTGTTGTTGTTTGATTTGTGTTTGTACTGTAGCGTTTTGCAGTATTTCTCTCTGCGTGTCTTCCTGAAAGAGCTGTCACTGTTTTGCTTCTGGCTGTTGAGCTCACACGGTGTGCATCAGCATGGTGTCTGCGCTGCGTTGAGTCAGATTTCAGACTACACAGGGCATTTACGGCCTAAAATATAATAATCTGTTTAGAGGTCTGAGACCTGCAGCAAATAAGAGGCTGTGACATTGATGTGACTTCCAGAAGCATCGAGGAGGTTGAGAGTGCTTCTGGTTTTGCTTTACAACGATACCTTGCTTTGATGGTGTAGAGAATACAGTAGATAATGCCAAAAGCCATCTGGGGAACAAAAAGCCCAAATCTTTGGAAGAAATTAGCATTTTGTAWCATTGTGACCTGTCCAGAACATGCAGTAGGCCCAAGGGGATGCCAAAAGGTGGATGCATCACAGCAAATTGCAGCAAGGCAATAACAGGAGCTACCCRACCACGACAGACCCTTACCAAGCATAGTAAACACCAGGCTTTGTCTCAATAGATCCGCTTTCCGCTCCATGACACGGCTCCAACTGGAGGTGTGTGCACACAGAATTGCAGGATGGTTGGGGTTGAAAGGGATCTRTGCAGATCATCCAGTGCAGCCCTCCTGCTCCAGCARGGTCACCTATAGCATGTGGCACAGGCTGCATCCAGGCAGGCTGGGAGATCTCCAGAGAAGGAGACTCCCCAGCTTYCCCGGGCAGCCTGGGCCAGGGCTCGGGCACCCTCACAGCAAAGCAGTTCTTCCTTGCATGCACATGGAACTGCCTGGGTTTCAGTTTGTTCCTGTTGCCCCCTGTCCTGTCACTGGCCACTACTGAGAAGAGTTTGGTCCCTTCCTCCCTACATTCTCCCCTCAGGTACTTATACATATTGATCATATCCCCTCTCAGTCTTTTCGTCTCCGGGCTAAACAGGCCCAGCTTACTTATTCTTTCCTCATAAGACAGATGCTGCAGTCCCTTGCTGCTAGTGAAACTTGCGTCAAATGCCTGTGTGTGTTGTGCCTCCCAGCAAAAGTTACCTTAGCCAGACACAGGGTGCTCTGTGCTCTTCCTTATAACCTCCATTGAGGATCAAAAAAGGGGAATTGCAGTTGTCCAGGACACTGCCTGAGGCCTGGATTTAGCACATGCACAGCAGGTACTGGGTTAGAGCCTTTCCTCTGCATAAGGAGTCATCTCTTCCCTTCCCATTGATCGCGCTTTGGCTGCACGGTTTGTTCTTGGCTCCAAGTTACTGCTACTGCCAGTGTTTATTTTGGCACCCTGTGGAAGGCACTTGGCTTTCTTGGGCACTTGAGCCACGAGGCCCGCGCTGGCTCTGCTTGCCTGCCGACTCCCGAGGGGCTGGAGCAACCAGGGATGGAGGTGGAGGGCACATCAGGGGCCAGCCAAGCGTCTGGTGGTTGTGGCCACTGTAGGAGCACCGCAGAAGGACATGTTAACGTCACGGCTTGGGATGCACTGGGAGAGGCTCTTTGCCCTTTAGTTGGCATGGGCAAGAGCTCCTTGGGCTGGGAGAACGACGATGTTGCAACTCGCCCAGATGTGAATTGCCAGTGCCTTCCAAAATCTGTTCCTAAAATGCTTGAGGATGAACCGCTACCTCTGTTGTCATGCCTGTCGCTTGAAGCAGAGTGTTATTTCATTGGTCTTTGGTTCAGGCTGGTGACCAGAGGAGATGACTTTGAGCCACCAAATGGAGAAGAACTCAGTATTTGTTTTTTCCTGGAGCAGTCACAAAGGGCTTCTTTGCCATTCATTTTTGCTCTGCCAGTTTTTCTCCCTAGTTCTACACTAGTGATTCTTTTTCACTCTTATGTAATAGATGGTGAGTGTTGAATGAATTACCTCAGGGAACATAAATCTTCAATTCTGAAGTTAGTGTCTTTCAGACTGTCAGCTCAGTCCGTTTCCAGTAGACTTCAGAAGGCTTGATAAATATTTAAAACCTCTAGGTAGGCCCATTATTGCTCTGCAACAAGACAGCAGAGGAGACTTGGTCTCGTGTATTTAACTTCATAGATTTCATAGAAATTTCGTAGATTTAAGCCACACAAAACTAAGGTTTCTGGAGACCAGGGTGCAAGTCATGGGGTTTGTTTGTTTGTTTGCTTTTCCAGGTTCGGAATCACAGAATGTTTGASGTTGGAAGCGAGCTGTAGAGATCATCCAGGGCAATCACCTTACTTAAACAGGGTTCCTCACAGCACATTGCCCAGAACATTGGCCAGTTTGACTGTATCCGTCCATGGAGATAGCACCTCTCAGGGCAACCCCTTCTGGTGCTCAGTCAGCCTTAGCATTAATAGGGCTCTCCTCATCCGCAGATGGAACTTCTTGTGTTCCTSTTTGTGCCCATTGCCTCCCGTCCTATCACCAGGCGCCACTGAGAAGTCTGGTGCTCTCCTGCTTACATCCTTCCTTCAGATTCTTAAAAATGTTAAGATCCCGCTTCAGTCTTCTCTTTTCCGGGCTGAAGAGTCCTAGCTCCCTCAGTCTTTGCTCATATGAGAGATGAGTCCCCTAATCACCCAGTTCCTTAATAATTCTCATAGCCCCTTGCTGGGCTCTTTCCAGCAGCTCCGTGTCCCTCTTATCCAGGGGAGCCCGACACAGGACACAGTCCTTTGGGGGTGGCCTCAGCAGGGTTCGGCAGGATCCCCTCTCTCCACCTGCTGGCAACGCTCTGCCTAGTGCTGCCCAAGATACCATTGGCCTTTTTGGCCACAGGGCTGTATTGCTGGCTCACATTCAGCTTGGTTGTCTGGATTCCTACCTCCTTCTTTGTAAAGCTGCTTTCCTGCTGGTTGATGCCCGGCTGGTACTGCTGCATCAGACCCTGCACRTGCTGTTGAACTTCATGRGGTTCCTCTCCCCATCYTTCYAGCCTGCTGAGGGCCTTCCGATARGYGGCAMAGATCTCTGGGGTATCACCTCGGTTCCAGTTTTGTGTCATTAGCAGACTCACGCTGGTCACCCTGTCCCTTAATCCAGGTAATTGCTGAACGAGTTGAGCAATGTTGGACCCAGTGTTGATTCCTCAAGTACACAGCTTGTTACAGGTCTCTAGCTAGACTTTGTGYTACTGAGCACAGTCCTCTGAGCTCTGCCATTTAGCCAGTTCTCAGTCCGGGTCACTCTCTACTCATCTCACCTGTAGCTTCTYCACTTGCCTACAAGAATGTTATCAGAGGCAGTATCAAGCCTTGTTGAAGTCAAGGTAGACAACATCTACTGCTCTGTCCTCRTCTGCCCAGCTAGTCAATCCATCACAGAAGGCTATTGAATTGGTTAATGATTTCCCCCTCTGTGACTCCACGTTGACTACTCTTTCCTTGTACCTCAGGTTYTATGACTGCTGGATGAGATTTGAGTTATTTGGAGAGTGACCTCTGTAATTTCTAACATAACATCTTCTGCTAGAGAAATGTTGGTAGTCAAGGAGACCAGTTGCCCACCTTTGCGCAATGGTTTTAAGCAAAGTTATGTAGTGCTAAAAAAACAGGATGCGTTTTTGAGTTGTATTGATGTCTAAGCTGTGACCAGCTGCCA